GGTTTAATTACTATTGGAAAATGCTTGTCATTCCTCTGTAGCATCTGGTCCCCACTGGACCCTCATCATTTCCTTCACCTGCTCCCCCCACCGACCAAACTGTGCAGCTCTGCAACTGCATACTGGCCCATCCTCACCCTTCTGCCCCCAACCCTCACCTCTTTGTACCCCCAATATGTTTTTCCCAATAAAAAAAAATTATAAAAAAAAAAGAATCAGTACAGTTTTCCAAAGAAGTATCATCTGTTCCTTTTCTCTAGCATGTTTAATGGCAGATGACTGCACCTGTTTGTTTACTCATAAGGGAATCTTGGCTATTGTTCAGTGTAATATGGAAGGTTCTTTGTTCTATGTTAGCTGAGTGTGCTCTGAGAGAGTGGGTTTTAGTGTTAGTGGTCTATATGAAGACTCATCATGTACATTTAAATCCAGGGTGTCTTTGAAATGTATTAATATGTTTTCATAATGAGTTTTTGAGTGGTCTTGTGCAGTGATAATTTGTTAAAAAGAAAGAATATTTCTAGGTTTTGACCACATAATCTCTTCCTAGAAATTTTGTGGAAAAAGTAAAAAATTGTAGGCACCAAGTTACATGCCAAGTTATTCATAGTGCAGAGGGTTGTTGTTTTTATGTGCCGTCAAGTCGCTTGTGACTCATAGCGACCCTCTGTACAACAGCCCTAAACTCTGCCCTGTCCTGTGCCAATCTCACTGTCTTGGACACACCCATCCCAATTACCCCAGTCACTGAATCACCCTCCCAAGCATCATGTCCCTCTACAAGGACCTGTCTTTCCTTGCAGCATGCCCAAAATATGTTAGAGCCACAGAATCCTTGCCTCTAATTAGGGAGCAGCCCGGTTTAACCCTCTCCAGGATGAATCTGTTTGTTTTCTTAGAAGTCCATGGTACCCTCAATACTCTTCTCCAGCACCACAGCCCAAAGGCATCAATTCTCATTCTATCCTCCCTTGTCATTGTCCAACTCTCTGATGCATAACAAGTGATTCCAAAGACCATGGCCTGTATCAGACACACCTTAGTCCCCAGAGAGATACCATTGCTCTTCAGTACTTTGGAGAGATCTCTAACAACAGACTTTCCTATTGTAATATGCCTTTTAATTTCCTGGCTGCTGGTGCCAAGGGTGTTGATTGTGATGCCAAGCATATTGTGAACAGTCTCAATCTCTTCACCATCCATCCTGATGCTGCCAGTTGGTCCAGTGGTCAGAATTTTTGTCTTCTTGATATTGAGCCTCAATCCATATTGAAGGCTGCAGTCCTTGACCCCCTGCAGCAAGCACTTCAGGTCCTCCTCAGTTTCAGCAAGCAGGGTTGTATCATCTATATAACGCAGATTGTTGATAGATCTCCCACCAATCCTGATGCCACATTTCTCCTCATAGAGCCCAGCCTCCTGGATAATCTGTTCTGCATACAGGTTGAAAAGGTATGGAGACAGGACACATCCCTGGCGTAGGCCCTTCCCAGTGTAATGGGAGGAAATACTTGAAATAGCCAGTATTGGGGGAGTTGTTTATGTGAATTAGGCTTTTCTTTTGATAAATTTTAGAAATCCAGTCAAATGATAAGGCTAATAAAATAAAGTGAAATTCCCTAGTGTCTGTCTCTGTGATAAGAGCCATATAAAACTATGCATGGGTTAACTTGTTGAGTCAGAATTGTAAGCACATTTTTTTCTTCTTCTTTGTATATTGATAAGTATATGTGTAATGAAGATGTTTAATGTGCGGTTTAAGTTCACATTTAGAAATACTTCTCCTTAGGGATGGATTCGTTCAGTCCGATCCCAGAAGGAAGTCTTGTTCCTGCATGTAAATGATGGATCATCTTTGGAAAGTCTTCAGGTTGTGGCAGACCCTAGCTTGGACAGTAGGTAAGTTTCATTATGAACAGACCAACAAAAACAAAAACCACACAACCAGAAAACCTCCTAACAAGAACAACAAAAACCCTCTGACTTTTTTTTTCCCATTCATTTTTTTTTTAAATTTTATTAAATTTTATTAGTTTTAATGAACATTTACAGGGATTTGGGGTTTTCTTTTTTTTTTATTATTATTATTATTTTGTGTGCGTGTACCGTCAAATCAGATCTGACTGGTACAGGAGGATATTGTGCCTCCTTCTCCGGCAGAGCATCTGGTGGATTCGAACTGTGTTCCTCTGGGATTGCAGTGCAGCTTCTTGCCACTAGGCCACCAGAGCTCCCCAAGGATTTTGGGTTTTCATTCCTCCATTACTGCACCATTCTCTCTACCCTCCTCCCCAGTTTGTTCTTCTTCCCCGCCATCTGAATGTCTGTTTTAATTGTCCAATTGCCACAGTGCTTGTCAAAGTCAGTTCTGATTAATCTCCTTTGTCGGTGTGTGATTTTTTTTTTAATCTCAGTTTCCCTCTTTAGTAATCTAGTCTTCACATCACCATCTGAGTTACCTTTCTAAACAGGTCTGCTTTCCAAGTTTCCGTCGTACAAACTCAAGCCCAGGTGCTTCTCACCCAAATCTTCATAGCTTTGCCATTTCCTCTTCTGGCGTCTTCATCATCATATATCTGCATCCTCCACATGTGTTTTGCTTCCATTTTTCTTAACTACAGGCAGTCCACAGGTAATGAGCAAGATCCATTCTTAAGTGTGTTTTTAAGTCAAACTTGTAAGGGAGTCAGAACAGCTGCGTGCAGTAAACACTTAGCCTGACTTTAGTTTGGGGAAAAGCCTCTGAGCCTTTTCAGTGATTTAAAATCTGTTGGTGCAGGAAATGAAGGTGATTGAGAGAAAGAATTTGTTGTTAGTCTGGACTGGTTCAGTCATTTCAAAAGGAGGGAAAATTTACATAACACTAAAATGCAAGTATTCCTCATTCATCAGACTGCCTATGTTTGCAGTTCTCCCAGCCTTTTCTACTCTTTCTGATTTTAGTTCTTGTAAATGTTGCTGCTTCTGCCTAATACAACCTGTCCTTTTCACTTGTTTATCAAAGTTCTGTTAGGCATTATCTGATGTTCCCATCCCTTGACTGTGCTTGGTGTCCCTCCTTTGTCCTCCTTTAGCTTGTCAAAGATTATGTCTTACTGGGTTGTAAGCAGCTGTATTTTCATTTGACTCCGTCTTTTAGACTTCGTTCCTTGAGGTTTTAGATAGTATCACATTCATTTCTATATTCCTGCCCTCTAAGAAAAGGCTAACATACTGATTATTTAAGTAAATGGAAGAAACTTTAATGGTCTCATTTATTAGATTTTAAAAGTTCACACCATTTTAGGTTAGGGTGTGAGCAGGGAGCTCTGGTGGCTTAATAGTAAGGAGTTGGACTGCCATTCCAAAGGTAAGCAGTTTGAATCCACCAGATACTGCCCAGGAGAAAGATGGACAGTCTCTTTTGTGCAATTTAGAATGTCTGTAAAACCACTATAAGAGTCAACTATGAGTAAGTCTTTCTATGACTATTGACATTTATCAAAGTTTATAGAGTTTCCAGGGGCATGTTGTTTAGGAAGTAGATGCCACTCCTGCTTGAGTATGGAGTAGCAGAACATTATTCTGCTTTATTAGAACAAGTGAGTGTTCTTCTAAGCACTGTTGAGGTTCATGCTCTCCACACAGTAAGTAGGAGTATGAATCTTCAACTGTTTGGTCAGTTAAACAGAACCACAGAAAAATCATTCTGATGTAATTTGTTTTGGATGTCATTGAGTTGACTGTGAGTTATAGTGACCCTGTGAACAACAGATCTGAGTCCTTCCCTGTTCTATGTCATTCTCATTATATCTGATGTACTTGAGCTGATTGTTACAGTCACTGTGTCGGTCTGTTTTGTTGAGAGTTGTCCTCTCTTTCGCTAACCCTCCCCCTTTCCCAGCATGATGGCTTTTTCCCAGGGACTGGCCCTGATACTCCCTAAGGAGTACCCTGGCTGAACTTTATCTAAGATATGTTTTGTTTTGTTTTGACAGTCTGTGGGATATTCAGTACTCTTCTCCATCATCACAATTCGAAGACATTGAGTCTTCTGTCATCTGTACTCTTTGGCAACTTTCAGATGCATAATAAGTAATTGAAACTATCATGCGTTAGATCAGATGCACTTTAGTCTTTAAACTGACATGGCTGTTCTTTAGCATTTTGGTGTAGTTGTTGTTGGGTGCCACCAAGTCAAATATGACTCATAGCAATCCCGTGAAGAACAGATTTGAACCCTGTCCTATCCTGTGCTATCCGCATCATCTCTGACACGCCTGAGCCTATTGCCACAGTCACTGTGTCAGTCCATCTTGTTGAAGGTCTTTTTCTGCTGACCTTCCACCTTTCCAAGGATGATATAACTTTCCAAGGAATAACTTTTCCTAGCAACATGCCCAAAATATGTGTGACAAGTGTTGTCATTCTTACCTCCAAAGAACATTCTGGCTACACTTTCTCCAAGACATCAGTATCTCTTGTGGTTGACCAGCTGCAAATTCAGTCCAAGTATGATATTTCAGAGAGCATTAGACATATCTTTCTCTGTTTTATTGACCTTGCAAAGGCATTTAACTGTATGTATCATAACAGATTGTGCTCCTAGACCAAGAAGCATTCATTTAAAGAGAACAAAGGAAACCTGCATAATTTAAAATAAGAAAAAGTGTACATTAGCATTATATCCTTTCAACATACCTAGTTTAGTCAGTTGTTGTTGTGTACTGTAGAAATAGAACCTACCTATAGCTGACCCTCCTGCGGGTTTTCAGAGGCAGTTAAATAGCACCGGGAAGGTTGTCCATCCTTCTCCCATAGAGCAGCTGGTGACCTCGAACCATGTACCTTCGGATTGCAGCGCAGCTTCTTGCCACTAGGCCACCAGAGCTCCCTATTTTAGTCTGTATGCTAAGCACATAATCTGAGAAGCTGGACTATATGGAAAAAAAAAATGTGGCATCAAAATGGGAGGAAAAACCTCATTAAAATCTGCAGTGTGAAGGTGACACCACACCAAGTATTGAAAACAGAGACTTACAGTACTAATTGACAAAGTCCAAAGACTTCATACCTTCAATGTGGGTTACACCTCAACATAAAAATCCTTACAGCTAGACCAATATAATAACATTGTAATAAACTGAGAAAAGATTGAAATTGACAAGCATTTCATTTTACTGGGATCTACAATCAATGTCAACATTCAAAGGAAGTAACAGTAAGAAATCAAAAGACTTGTTCCATTGGGCAAATATGCTGCAATGCTTTAAAGTGTTCAAAAGAAGAATATCACGTTAAGGGCTAATGTGCATCTGATTCCAGCTATGATGTTTTCAGCTGCTTCATATGTGTGTGAAAGTTGGACCGTGTTTAAGAAATATAAAAGAATTATTGATGACTTTAAGTTGCGCTGTTAGTAAGGATGATTGACTATACCAAGGAGACCTCTCGGGCCGTAGTCCATAAGGATTTGTACTGTTAACTCAAAGGCCACATACTTTTCTGATGGTCAGATCTACTGGTGCCTCCTAGTGAGAAAGATGGATAATCTCCTGTGCAAATTAGAGCCTCAGAAATCTAGTGCAGCGTCAGCTGTGAGTCAGTTGCAACTGGACGGCAATGAGTTTGAGGATTTTTGTTGAATGCCAAGCAAATGTGTCTTGGAGGAAGTGCAGTTAGAATGTTCCTTAGCAACAAGTGTAGTGAGACTTAGTCCCAAGTACTTTGGGGAATTAGCAAGTGGAACCAGTTCTTGGAGAAAGACATCATGGTAAAGTATAGGGTTGGTTAAAAAGAGGAACACCTTCAAAAAGATGGAATAGCTACAACAGTGCGCTCAAACCTACTATGAATTGTGAGGCCTCAGCAATGTTTCATTCTGTTGTGCGTATAAGGTGAGTCAGAATAGACTCAGCAGCACCTAAAAAGAGAATTTTTTTTCTGATCCAGATCATCTATAGAAGCTGTTCAGTTTCATAGCAGGTTGGAAGACAGTTTAAGATGATGTTCCCTCATGGTGCTCCTCATTGGTTTATTCAGTTTTTGCCTTGGAGCTTTTATGCAAAAATTACATTAATGGAAGATAATCCATCTCTAATACACATCAGTGTAAATTTGGCTATGTTAAATGTTAGTCTTTTTTTAAATACATCATACTTTATTTGCTGTGAAATAGTACTATGAAATAGTTGTTCCTTGTGTAAAATTTCAAAGTATCTTTAAGAAAACTTCTACCAGTCAGCATTTGTTTAATCAGAATTTTCTAATAATGACAACTCCATGTAATTTTTGCATGTAATAGTTACAGTTTGCAATGATAACGTTTAAACTTTAAAAGATCCTAGAAGATTCAGTGGTCTTGTATTATTGAAAATCATAATAAAACTATATAGACCCTGTGTAAGTGTTCATTTACCTGACTGTTTAACCAACTAGAAAATTTCTGTCACTCACCTGCTAAATAGCAGGATTTATCATCATTTTATGTTAATGAATCTTTGATTTTGTTATTTAACTAAATGGCCTTGTAATTTTGGAGAATCTTTAGCTATCAGTGAATGAATCAGGCCCTCTGCAGCTGACTTCAGAGCATGCTACTTAGCATCGCTTGTGTTGGAAGAAGCAGAATCACAAATTAGTATCTGATATAGAGTGTCTTCTCCCCATGTGACCTTGGATTTGAAATAGTTGTGTGTTCTATGTCCTTGACATTTTAACAGTATGACAGTTGCAAGGATATTTCCAGTGGTACCTAAATTTTGGATTTTCTAGAGGATGACTGACTGTCACATTGAGATATTCTCGAGAGATTCAACTATGATAGTCACACATGACAAGTAGTTTACATTTTAAGTCAGAACAACTCAAAATAACCTTCTGTGCTTGATGAAAGTATACCACTCTTTTTTCTCCTATGAGGTAGTAATGACCAGTTGTGGGTTTTTTTTATAAGTTATGTAATAGTAAGTTCAAAAGGAAATAGCACATTATTAAATGTAATAAGCCAACAGAACTAGAAGAAGAATCTGACAAATTTTCTTTGAAAGATAACATACTTTCTTGAAGAAAGCATTTGTTATTATAAATATCTAAATTATTAACTATTAGAATTACAAAAGATGTTATGATCATTTAATTTCATTTTCTTAAGAGAGGACTTTTTAAATAAAATGAAGTTAGATTTTTCCCTAGTAATTTGTGGATGAACTTGGACTTCAAGCTGTATTAATTAATATGCAACACCTGGACAATTTCCATCTAGAATAATGAAGGAGGGGTGGGAAATGCAAAGACTCAAGAAAACAATTGGGTCCAAGGCTCAATGGACCAGGCAGACCACACCCTTCACTACTCTAGGAGGAGAAGAGTAGATGGTGGTGATCAGGACTTCAGAAGGCCCTAGACAGAACAGGAGGAAAATGTTGAACAAAATTCAAAATTAAAAAAAAAAACCCGACCAGACTTACTGGTCAGATAGAAATAGTGGGGCCTCTGAGATTGTGGCCCTTATACATCCTTAGCATTCCACAATAAAGAAAAAGTTGTTTAAATATTTGAAAAATAGAAATAACTAGTCTTTAGGGACGAATGGACCACACAGACTTCAGCTTCCAGGACCCTGAGACCAGAACTAGATGGTGTTTGCTTATCACTGCTGACCACTCTGAATGGGACTACAGCAGTAGATCCTGGGTGGAGTACAGGAAAGATGAACTAAGAAACATATGAAAGGCTAGAGTCTAACAGAAAATAGTGAAACCCCAAAGACTGTGAGCCGTACTCACTTTTTAAGCCTGGAATAAAACTCACACCTATGGCTCAACTTTTACCTAAACCCTATCTGTCTGTCTCCCCTTGCCTATGTTTCTTTCTCTCTCTATTATGTCAAGTTAAATACAACTTAGAGCCACCCTCTGTCAGGTTTCGAAGGCTGTAAATATTAGAGGGAGGAGACTGTTCGTTTTTCTCGCGTGGATTCAAATCGCCATAGACACACCACGTTTTGGTGAGCAACCCCCTGTTAGATACCACCAGCACAGCTGGCCAAGCAGGCCTGTAAAGGGAACAGTGCCACCAGGGAGGCACTTCTTATAATAACCGACCATATAAGGTCCAAAGATCAGTGCTTAACAAGGGTAAAACCCAGACACAGGAAGGAGTAGGAGAGAAGGTTTACTAGAAAGGAGAATTGCAGGGAGGAAGTGAGAAAATTGTGATGCCATTGCTGTGATTAATATTATGCAGCAAAATGTGTAGGTATTGTTGAATGGAAAACTAGTTTGCTTTGTAAAGTCTCACAAAAATCGCAATGAAACAGAAGATATGAAAGGACATTTGAAATGGGGGGAGCATACTTGCAAAAGGATAAAGGAGATAAGGAGGAAGCACTTCTAGCTATGCTAAAACTAATAACTTTTAAATAATACCTTTTTTTGGGTGTAAATTTACACAGCAAAGTAGGCTTCCATTTTAAATGGCTTAGTGGTCAGGAGTTGTGCTGCCAACCCAAAGGCATGTGGTTTATGTCCATCAACTGCTCAGAGGGAGAGTGATGGGCAGTCTTCTCCCGTTTGATTTACTGCTTCTGAAAACTCAGTAGAGGCTTAACTATGAGATGGTTCTAACTCAATAATACACAGCAACAACAATACTGTTTAGTGTCATTGGTTAAATTTTTCATAGTGGGTCACCATTCTCATTTCTGATCTGGTGGTTCTATTAATCTAGCATTCCTTCCTCATATTACCTTCTCATCTTTGCTTTAAGTGTTAATGATTTGGTCTTACATAGATAATTATTTAAAGTAGCAATTAATGATGTCAGTTTGAGGACTAAGGTGTATCTCCTTCAGGCCATCATAGTCTTTCCGAGCACCAGCTATGCATCTGAGAGCTGGACAATGAATAAGTATGACAGAAAAAGAATTGATGCCTTTGAGCTATGATATTGGCGACAAGCATTAAACATCCCATGGATGGCCAAGAGAACAAACCGCTATGTCTTGGAAAGGGTGCTGCCAGAGTGCTCTTTGGAGGCAAGAGTGATGAGGCTTTGCCTCACATACTTTGGGCACATTGTTAGGAGGGGCTGTTCCTTGGAAAGGGACATGATTCTGGGAAGGTGATGATGGTGGGTCGATGAAGGAGAGGTAGATGCTCAACCAGGAGGATTGACATGGTGACTGCTGCAATAGGCCCTTGTGTATCAGTAAGTGTGAGAATGACACAGGATAGAACAAGGTTCAGATCTTGTTCATAGGGCCACTATGAGTCATACTGTTGTTGTTGTTGTTAGGTGCCATCGAGTTGTAGACAACTGACTCATAGCGACCAGGAACGAAAGGCCTGAGCACTGTTCATAGAGTTTCCGGAGGCAAGCCATTTTGGAAGTGAATGCCACTCCTGCTTCCAGCATCACAGCAATCACAAGTTACCTCTGTACAGCAATGCACAGACCAGTGCTATGCCACCTAGAATAGTGTTTCTCAGAAAAACAATTTGAACCAGGCCTGAGTGCTGCAGATTAAAATCACCCAAGCAGTTGTGCTTGGTAGCATAACTTTCTGTCCACTAGGCCAACGTAGCTCTATCTATGAGTCATACTAGACTAGTCAAACGAGGCACCTAACAACAATAACAAGTATTCATGGTGCTTTTATTTTCTGAGCCAGTCTATTGAATTAGGATGAAAAGTAGCCTGCAGTAGTCACTTTTAACATTTAAATGGGATGCACTCCTAGCCTAAAGGAATGAAATCACTTCTTGGTGTTTTGAATCCACCAATGGCTTCACTGGAGAAAGATGGGCAATCTCTGGCCATGGCACTTAACACCCTGGAAACCCGATGAATGGTCAGTTATGAATTAGAAATGAATTGACAGCATTGAGTTTTGTTTTGCTGTCATGTTGTCCCTTGTCCATTCCTGTCCTCTTTGCCCTCTCCATCCCCTTTCCATCTCTCCCCTATCTTTCCATCTCTCTAATTTCCCCTGTCATCTTTGCTTTTGGGCATGTGTTGCCTGTTTGGTCTCATATGATTGCCGTGATAGCCAGGTGCTGTCTAGTTATTATAGTCTCTGATGTAGATGAGGCTGATTACTTTGTATCTTTGATTTCCTTCTTTCTTGTTTGCCTCAGAAAAGTGCAGACTAATAACTGTATTTCAGATGGCTGTTTGCAAGCTTTTAAGATTCCAAGAACCATTCACCAAATCAGGATGTAGAACATTGCCTTGGTGAACAATGCTTTGTTGACTGACCAAGCCACCTCACTAGTTAAAGCATTTTATTTTGAAATATTAGTAAGTTGCCCCCCAAAAAGTAGACTTTTCACATACAAGTTTTCTTCAGTGAACATATTTTACATTACCATCGTACCTTGTCAAAATTAGGAACTTGACCTTAATACAGTTCTGTAACTAAGTTATAGGCCTTAATTCTGGTTTTACCAATTTTTATATGCAATCTTTTCTTTTTTTGACCAGCTAAATTTTAATAAAAATAATTGTATTAACTCATGATTTTTTCTACTTTTTTTTCTACTTCACTGTTCTCAATTTAAAACGTGTAGAATTCATTTTTTTTTTAATAATTTTGGTATACAATAGAATATCCATTGATGAAGACTGGCCTATTTAAGTATAAAAGCTTATATCATTAAATAATGATCTAATGACAAGGTTTGCTTTAAAATGAGGGTTACATGTATGATACTTTCTTTAACCTTTTTTGTGTGTGTTTTTGTAGGGAACTAGCTTTTGGGAGTTCTGTGAAAATAGAAGGACAGCTTGTAAAAAGTCCCTCCAAAAGACAAAATGTAGAATTGAAGGCAGAAAAAATTGACGTCGTTGGAAATTGCAATGATAAGGTATAATTTCTGATGATTTTACTATTTACATAGAAATGGCAAATAAAAGCAGAAATCAGGTTCTGAGATTTCTACAAAAAAATAGACTGAAAAAAATTTGGTACTCAAATGAATGAAAAAGATAGATAACTTTGGTTTTGTTTTTTTTTTGTTCAGAGGGGATCTGCGATTATTAATGTTTAAAAAATTGGCTTAAGTTTCACTCTTCCTGACCACCCTTGGCTTTTATTGATGTCTTCATCTTCATTTCTCCTCTGTTCCCTGTAGTTTTAAAGTATTCAAATATTAGGTAATTCTAAATGCCTCACAATTTTTATTGACCTGGTCACATTTTCACTTTAGTAAATAAAGTACATTTTTGGTATCTGACATGTAAATTAATAATGCACTTCTTGTTGTTGTTGTTATGTGCCGTAGAGTCGCCTGCGACTCATAGCGACCCTATGTACAACAGCCCTAAACTCCGCTCTGTCCTGTGCCAATCGCACTGTCTCTGACACTCCCATCCCTATTATCCCAGTCACTGAATCAATCCACCTCATAGAGGGCCTTCCTCTCCTGCGCTGTCCCTCCACCCTCCCAAGCATGATGTCCCTCTCTAAGGGATGTCTCCTCACAACATGTCCAAAGTAAGTTAGACGGAGCCTCAGAATCCTTGCCTCCAAGGAGCCACCCGGTTTAACCCTCTCCAGGACAAATCTGTTTGTTTTCCTAGCAGTCCATGGTATTCTCAATAGTCTTCTCCAGCACCACAGCTCAAAGGCATCAATTCTCCTTCTATCCTCCTTGGTCATTGTCCAACTCTCTGATGAATAACAAGTGATTGCAAAAACCATGGCCTGTATCAGACGCACCTTAGTCTCCAGAGAGACACCATTGCTCTTCAGCACTTTGGAGAGGTCCCTAACAGCAGACTTTCCCATGGCAATGCGCCTTTTAATTTCCTGGCTGCTGGTGCCAAGACTGTTGACTATGGAGCCAAGCAAACTAAAGCTGTGTACAATCTCAATCTCTTCACCATCCATCCTGATGCTGCCAATTGGTCCAGTGGTGAGAATCTTTGTCTTCTTGACATTGAGCCTCAATCCATATTGTAGGCTGCAGTCCTTGACACTCTGCAGCAGGCGCTTCAGGTCCTCCTCAGTTTCAGCAAGCAGGGTTGTGTCATCCGCATAACGCAGATTGTTGATAAATCGTCCACCAATCTTGACCCCACATTTCTCCTCATAGAGCCCAGCCTCTCGGATAATCTGTTCTGCATATCGGTTGAAAAGGTATGGAGATAGGACGCATCCCTGGCGTACACCCTTCCCAATTTTGAACCATGCAGTGTTCCCTTGCTCTGTTCTGACGACTGCCTCCTGGTCCAAGTATAAGTTTCGCATTAGAACGATCAAGTGTTCTGGGATTCCCATTCTTCTCAGAGTCAGCCACAGTTTGTTATGATCTACACAGTCAAATGCCTTTGCATAGTCAATGAAACACAGATAGACATTCCTCTGGTATTCCAGAGCCAAGAAAGAGGAGATAGAAGATTTTTACCAACTTTTACAATCGGAGATTGATCAGACATGCAACCAAGATGCATTGATAATAATGGGTGACTGGAATGCAAAAGTCGGGAACAAAAAGGAAGATTCAGTAGTTGGAAAACATGGACTCGGTGACAGAAATGGAGCTGGAGAGAGAATGATCGAATTTTGCACAATCAATGACTTATTCATAGCAAATACATTTTTTAAGAGGCATAAACGCAGGTTACATACCTGGATTTCACCTGATGGCATGCATAGGAATCAGATCGATTACATATGTGGAAAGAACCGCTGGAGAAGCTCAATATCAGCTGTGAAAACTAGGCCAGGAGCTGATTGTGGAACAGACCACCAACTACTCATATGCAAATTAAAGCTAAAGCTGAGGAAAATTAAACCAAATCCGAGGCAACCAAAATATGACTTTGAGTCTATCCCACCTGAATTTCAGAACCATCTCAGGAACAGATTTGAGGCTTTTAACACTAATGAACGAAGGCCAGATGAGTTGTAGGAGGATATCAAGGGTATCATCCAGGAAGAGTGCAGACAGTCATTGCAAAGACAGAAGAGGAAGAAAAGACCAAAATGGATGTCAGAAGAGACTCTGAAAATTGCACTGGAGCGTAGAGAAGCCAAAGCACAGGGAAGAATTCAAGATACTAAAGAGTTGAATAGAAGATTTCAAAAGGCAGCACGGGATGACAAAGCAAAATAGTACAATGAAATGTGCAAGGAGTTGGAGTCGGAAAATCAAAAGGGCCGAACTCGCTCAGCATATCTTAAGCTCAAGGAACTGAAGAACAAATTCAAATAACGCACTAGACCTCAAAAAACATAATACTGTAAAGGAAATGACTAGCAGTATAGTTCTTTAACTTTGCTTCTTTGTTGTTTTTTATGTTGAAACTTTGGTTTTTATCTGAAAATCTGCTTCTGTTCTCTTGGTCTCACTACATGAGTATGCGAAGATTAGAAATCTGTCTAGGCAGAACTATTAATTCTTTGGACATAAATTTTTCTGTCTTCACTGTTCTGCCAAGTGAAAGAAAGCTTCTTTCCCTCTTTTGTGTTAGGGATCTTCAAGATATTTTGGCAGAATTCAAATTCAGACCTTTTTGATATTCTCCTGACTTTTGGGGATCAATAACTGACTATAACCAGTGCTGTTAAGAAATAAAAGAACACATCTTAATTTTGTTCAAAGCTCTGCTATTTTAAAAAGTGTCTTGAAAATGGATTTTATGAAAGTCTCAGTTTTACATTCTAATTTGTGTTTTTTTTTTCCTTTTGTTGGCAGACTTTCCCTTTTAAATATAAAGAGAGGCATCCTCTGGAATATTTAAGACAATATCCTCACCTTCGGTGCAGGACTAATGCTCTGGGTTCTATTTTGAGGGTGCGAAGTGAAGCTACGGCTGCCATTTATTCTTTCTTTAAGGTAAGGAGCTTTACTTCTAGTGTAATTGCATCATTGTCATGCTGGAGTTGCTTCATTCTAGAAGTTCTATTAGTTATTTCCAGCACCCTTAACTTGTGTGATGCTGCTAAGTTGTCACAGTCATGTATGCATGTTTGCATGTGTGTGCTTTATATATGTGTATATATGTATAGTTTGTTTGATAGCCTTTTTAAAGAATAAATGGTTTAAAAGAACCTGCACATATTTAGAGTACATGATTTGGTAAGTTCTTACATGTGTATATAGTGGTACAGTCCTATGGAGTTGCACGACTAACCCCAGAGGCCACAATTTTCTGGCGGTTTGAATCTACCAGTGACTCCATGGAAGAAAGATGGGAAATCTCCTCCCATGATTTACATTTGCAGAAACTCAGTGGGGGGCCAGTTTTGAATTGGTTCAGACTCTGCAGTGATGAGTGTGAGGGAGGTTTTTATATATTTTATATATTTATGTATCTGTGAAACTTTCACCACAATTATGACAATAAACATATCCACGACCCCCAAAATTTTCCCAGGGGCCCTTTGTAGTCCCTCCCTGTCCCTCCTCTTCCCAAACCAACCAATTATCTGTTGCCTTTTCCTATTATTAATTCATTTATAGTTTCTTTAATTTTTTAGAAATTTAATACATAAACTTTTTTGTCTTTTTTTTTTAAATAATTTTTATTTATTTTATTTTATGTGTGTACCGTCAAATTGGATCTGACTGGTACAGGAGGCGATTGTTCCTCCTTCTTCAGCAGAGCATCTGTTGGATTTGAACCGCGTACCTCTGGGATTGCAGTGCAGTTTTTTTGTCTTTTTTTACCCAGCATAATTATTAAAAGATTTCATACATGTTGATATGGTATAATAGTTCTTTTTTTTAAATGTAGTTATTAAATAGTATTCCATTGAATGACTCTACCACAGTTTATTATATATTTGCCTGTGAGACATTTGGATTGTGTCCAGGTTTTTGTTTTTTGATATGTTGGGTTTTTGTTTGTTGTGTTTTTTTCTAAACCATCTAAAATCACTGTGAACATACAGGGCTTTGTGCAGACTTATATTTCTGTTTTTCTTTTCTTGAATAAGTAACCAGGAGTAGAATTATAAACAAGTATATGTTTAACCTTTTTAAGAAACTTCTAAGTTATTCTATAGCTTGATTTTAAATTTTACTTGTAAGTGGAGCTCTGGTGGCCTAGCGGTAAGGAATTACCCTCTGCCAGCCTAGAGGCAGGTGTTGCATGGGAGAAAGATCTTTATGTGCTTTACAGCCTCTGAGCACCCTCTGTGGAGGGTCGGCTGTGAGTCAGCTCCCACTCCACAGTAACCAACATCAGTTGGTGTGTGGTGGTGGGGCTCTAGTGGTGGAGGCTGTAGGCAGTTATGCAGCTGACCCAAAGAAGACGCTGTTTTAGCTTTTGGAATTTACCAGCAGCTCCGCAGTAAAAGATGGGCAGACAGTCCCTGCATGTGTGATTAACAGCTTGCAAAAATTGGCTGGTGATTCAACTCTGAGTCATTTCTGACTCAAGGGCAATGAGTTGAGTTCAGTGGAATTGGTGTGTAGTGATATATCATTTTGATTTTAATTTGCATTTTCCTATTGACTGATAATGTTGATCATCTTTTCATGTGTTTATCCGCCATCTGTAGATTTCCTTCAGTGAAATATTCTTCCAGTGTTTTACTAATTTTTGTATAGAGTTGTTTTCTTATCGTGAGTTTTGAGAGTTCTTTGTATTTCTTTACCAGACACTCACTTTTTCTCATAGAACATACCTTGTCTTTTTATGCTCTTATTAGTATCTTTTGCAGAGAAAGAAGCTTTTAATTTTGTGGTACAATTTTCCATTTGTTGAAGTATTGTGCTTTTAGTCTTGTATCTAAGGAACTTTTGCCTATCCCAAGGTCACAAATACTTTCTGCTGTTTTCTTCCAGATATTTTGTTAGTTTCAAGTTTAACACTTAAGTTTGTGAGCCGTTGTAGTGTTTTTGTGTATGTCATAAGGTATAGACTTAAGTTCATTTTTATGCATGTGGATGTGCTGTTACAGAACTGTTTGTTCCAAGTCTGTCTCCATTGTGTTGCCTTTCTGCCTTAGCCAAGTATCAGTTGTCAATATATGTTTGCGTCTATTTCTGAACTCTCAGTCCTGTTCCATTTCTCTGTCTTTGTACATTCTGTTTTGATTAATATAGCCTGCAATTTTGTAAACCAGACAGTGTTTTCCCCCAAATTGATTTTTCCCTTTTAGAGTTCTTTTAGGTTTCCAAGCTCTTTGCATCGTTATGTGAATTTTAGCATCAGTTTGTTAATTATTATGAGGACGGTTATAAGATTTCAAGTGAGATTACAGTGAATCTGTAGACTGATTTTTGTGGAGGATTGATCTTAACAATATTGAGTCTTCCAGACCATGAACAAGACTTAACTCTTTGTTTCTGTAGGCCTTTAAGCAGTAATTTTTAGTTTTCACTCTTTCGTATTTTTTGTCAGCTTTATCCCTAAGCACTGCATACTTTTTGGGTCTTGTTATAACTACTATTTTGAAAGCTTCACATTTCAGTTATTCTTGCTTGTGTAAAGAATTGTGATCAATGTTTATATCATTTGCATCCTGCACCCTTGCTATTAAGTTGACTCATTACTTTTAGTAGTTTGGTTTTGTCATTTCATCCATTTTTTTTACATAGATAATTATGTCATCTGTGAGTAAGAATAGTTTTACCTCTTCTTTTTTCATGTGGGTAAATTACTTCCGTTTCCCCTCTTCCCTTTCCCCCCCTTTTTTTCTGATTACACTGGCTCAAATTTCTAGGATAGTGTGGGCTTGAAGTGGTTTCATTCTAAATGTTAAGAATTATTTAGTCCTTTACTATGACCATGACATGATACTAGACTTTTGGTCTTGACTCTAAACAAGATACTTTTAAAAAAACCCCAAAACCCTGAGGATTGTGTGGAATGTTTTTTTTTTTAAGCCTCTTGTTTAGAGTCAACAAGACCTCCCACAGGGCCCTTGTATTGAAAGCCACTGCCCTGCTGGGCTGGACTGTAACTTGGGCACTTTGTTTTGGTTGAGGGTCTCCTGGAATGTTTGGTTGTTTTTGTTTAAGTCTCTTGTTTAGAGTCAACAAGAGCTCTGTGAGCGCCCTTGTATTTAAAAGTTGTTTGGGGCCCAGGGCCTTGTGTTACTATATTTTGTAGGATCATTCTTCTAAGTTGTATAGCACTCTTCTGTCAATTTGCTGTACTGAGGTAATCTACGTTTGCTGTGATGCTGAACCTTGGGTCAAATGCCATAACAGCTGCCCTTGGTAGACATTGTTTTGTGGAGCTCCCAGTTTAAGACAGGTTTGGATGCAGAAGTGGACTCCACTTCCTAAACCACATGCCTCTGGAAACTATGAACTTAGAGAAACAGTGATAGTTATAGAAAGGCTTCACGTGACCATGATGTTAACTGTAGATTTTTCAGTTGCGCCTGATCCACGCTATGGTCTTTGCAATTACATGCTATGCATCAGAGAGTTGGACAGTGACTAGGGATGATAGAGAATTGATGCCTTTGAGCTGTGGTGCTGGAGAAGAGTGTTGAATATACCATGGACTGCTAGAAGAACAAACAAGTTTGTCCTGGACAGGGTGAAGCCAGAATGCTCCTTGGAGTCAAGGATTCTGAAGCTTTGTCTGACATACTTTGGGCATGTTGCAAGGAGGGACTGGACCTTGGAGAGGTACATCATGTTTGGGAGAGTGGAGGGATGGCGTAGGAGAGGAAGACCCTTGATGAGATGGATTGATTCTGTGATTGGAGTGGTGGGAATGAGTGTGTTTGAGACGGCGAGGTTGGCACAGGATAGAACGGTGTTTAGTGCTTTTGTACATAGGGTTGCTATGAGTTGCAAGCAACTTGATGGCACATAACAACAACAACAACAACTTATCTGTTTGAGGAAGTTTCCTCCTATTCTTGGTTTGCTAAGAATATGTGGGATAAAGTTTCATTCTCCCTGCCTCTAAGGAGCACTGTGTAAGCACTTTGTCCAAAATGTATTTGTTTGTTCTTTTGACAGTCCATGTGACATTCAGTACTTTCTTCTAACACCGCAACTCAAAGGCATCAATTCTTTTTTCATTTTACTCACTGTTGAAAAGACCATGGATTGGCAATTTCCATTCTTTCTCCATCTATGATGATTGCATATTAGCCCAGTAGTGAGGGTTTTTGTTACCTTGATATTGAAATGTTATCCATATTGATTGTCTGTCTACAGCACAGGCTTCAGATCTTCTTCACTTTCAGTAAGCAGAGTCTTCCTCCAATCTTGATGTCTAATTCTCCATAGGTTCAACTTTCTGAATTTATTCCGCATATAGATTACATAGGTATGGACAAAGGGTACAGCCTAGACACTTAACTTGTCTTGATTTTTAAACCACAACAGTGTTGCCCATTTATTTTGTTGAAAAAAAGATTTTAAAAAAAATTTATTTTATTTTATTTTATTATTTTTGTGTGAGTGTACTGTCAAATCAGGTCTGACTGGTACAGGAGGAGATTGTCCCTCCTTCCCCGGCAGAGCATCTGGTGGATTCGAACCGTGCGCCTCTAGGACTATAGTTGCAGCTCCTTACCACTAGGCCACCAGAGCTCCCCTGAAAAAAAAGGTATTTTTTAAATAAGTAAATCCTTGGTCTTGTTACTGAACGCAAGGGGTTCTTTCCATAGTCAGTCGCCAGTAAGACAAACTGAATGCAATATCCATAAATGCACTTTATTACAGATAACTGCCTCCCTGTCTGGGAGTGGTCATGGCCTTATATGCTAGGGTGAAACTCTAGCTCATTTAACAATGCACTTTTGTTAGTAAAAAAAGGTGATTTCTACATCTGAAAAGGACAGGTCCTATCTATGTATCAGTAATTCAGGAAGGCCCCAGTTCTCCTCCTGGTAAACAGGCGATTATGACACAGTTTA